TTAATGTATGGTACGTTGTACATGTTTATTGGTCGTTTGCTTGTTTTTATTACCAACATACATTTTCTAGATGAAAAGAAGAAAAAAAAATCTCAAAAACGGAAAACATTGTGTAATCGTAGTAGTAATTTTTTGGACATATTGTTTGGTCGGTTGTTTCCTTTATTTGAGTAGATTGTGTAGGCGTTGTTTCTGGCTTGCGTTACAAGATTTAAAAAAATCATTTTTTTTTTTTCATAAAAGCATATTTCCCCTAGCACGCCCTTTTTAACGTAATATTATTTTTTAATTTAGGGTTGGGTGCCAAAACAAACAGTTAGTGATATTTAGAATAGAGTATGATTATTAATCGTTGTTTGTGGTTTCAAGGAATTGTTAAATTTTTAAACTAAATATTGATTTAAATAATTAATCCAAAAATTTAATCATTATGTGATTTGTTTATTACAAATTAGTTTCAACATTTGCCTTCTTGCTTTGGTGCAAATTTATTAACAAAATTTTTACACAGTTGCTTAGATATTTTGTTATATTTTCGAAATTATTCGGATTAATTTCTTAATCGTTTAACCTTATACACAAAACCTATAAAAAAAATGTGAAAAACGCATAAATTATATGGACCATTTTAAATATATATTTTTTCAATTCTTTTTTTATTTATATTAAACTGTTATATTTAAAAGTTTAGAACATTTATCTTTAAATTGAAATCTATTTGTATATTCATAAATATAAATTGAAAATTTATTTAGTTTTATTATTATTGACATGGTGTTGAATATATTTGTTAAAAGTTTTTTATTTGGCGTATAAAGGTGTAACAAATATGATTCATTTATTAGTTTTTTGTCTAGAAAATAGCTTACTTATAGTCAATTCCAATATTTTTGTTAAAAAAAAGGGCCAGGTTTAATGACAAATTTGTATAGAACACTTTATTTAGTTTTTAAAGAAAATATCTACACAAATGTTATTGCACCGTACACAAGAAAGGAATGAAGTACTTCAACCAGGATTACATTATCATCATTTCGAAAGTACATAATTTCGAATGTTAAACCTCTAATATGTATATATGTTCCAGTTTAGTTCAGTTCAGTTCTAGTTCAGTGCAAGTTCAGTGCTAGTTCAGTTCTAGTTCAGTTCTAGTTCACTTCTAGTTCAGTTCAGTTCTAATTCAGTTCTAGTTCAGTTCTAGTTCAGTTCTAATTCAGTTCTAGTTCAGTTCTAGTTCAGTTCTAGTTCAGTTCTAGTTCAGTTCTAGTTCTAGTTCAGTTCTAGTTCAGTTCTAGTTCAGTTCTAGTTCAGTTCTAGTTCAGTTCTAGTTCAGTTCTAGTTCAGTTCTAGTTCAGTTCTAGTTCAGTTCTAGTTCAGTTCTAGTTCAGTTCTAGTTCAGTTCTAGTTCAGTTCTAGTTCAGTTCTAGTTCAGTTCTAGTTCAGTTCTAGTTCAGTTCTAGTTCAGTTCTAGTTCAGTTCTAGTTCAGTTCTAGTTCAGTTCTAGTTCAGTTCTAGTTCAGTTCTAGTTCAGTTCTAGTTCAGTTCTAGTTCAGTTCTAGTTCAGTTCTAGTTCAGTTCTAGTTCAGTTCTAGTTCAGTTCTAGTTCAGTTCTAGTTCAGTTCTAGTTCAGTTCTAGTTCAGTTCTAGTTCAGTTCTAGTTCAGTTCTAGTTCAGTTCTAGTTCAGTTCTAGTTCAGTTCTAGTTCAGTTCTAGTTCAGTTCTAGTTCAGTTCTAGTTCAGTTCTAGTTCAGTTCTAGTTCAGTTCTAGTTCAGTTCTAGTTCAGTTCTAGTTCAGTTCTAGTTCAGTTCTAGTTCAGTTCTAGTTCAGTTCTAGTTCAGTTCTAGTTCAGTTCTAGTTCAGTTCTAGTTCAGTTCTAGTTCAGTTAGTTCAGTTCTAGTTCATTAGTTCTAGTTCAGTTCTAGTTCAGTTCTAGTTCAGTTCTTGTTCAGTTCTAGTTCAGTTCTAGTTCAGTTCTAGTTCAGTTCTAGTTCAGTTCTAGTTCAGTTCTAGTTCAGTTCTAGTTCAGTTCTAGTTCAGTTCTAGTTCAGTTCTAGTTCAGTTCTAGTTCAGTTCTAGTTCAGTTCTAGTTCAGTTCTAGTTCAGTTCTAGTTCAGTTCTAGTTCAGTTCTAGTTCAGTTCTAGTTCAGTTCTAGTTCAGTTAAAGTTGAGTTCTAGTTCAGTTAAAGTTGAGTTCTAGTTCAGTTAAAGTTGAGTTCTAGTTCAGTTCTAGTTCATTCTAGTTCAGTTCTAGTTCTAGTATATTCAATGTAAAAAAATAATTTAAAAATTTCCTTAAAAAATTTGTTTATTAATAAACAATTTAAACACAAAAATTTAATAAAATCCACGCCTAAAAGTAATCACACCCTAATAAAATATGTATTATTATTAGATATTTTAAATTTATTATTATTTAAATCTAAAAACTGAATACACTATCCCCTATTTATTGTAAATTTTCCCCTTGTTTTAAACAATATACGTTTGTCACTTCAATTTGTTTGCAATTTTAACTAAAAAAGTTTAATAACAAAACTGTTATTACTTTTACATACATTCTACTGCTACTTAGATATTGAAATGCAATTTTCTGTATTCTAACTCTGCTCGGCTCTGTACTGTGCTGTTGTACAAATTCAGAGAAAAAAACCCTTACAAAAACAAACATGAACTGAATGCACATGAACTACTCTAGAAGTTATATTTGCATAACACACTTTAACTGAACAATCTGAATACGAAAATAAAGTGAAAAAATAATACTTGTACACATATATTTATATTAGCATGAATAACTAGGACACCAAACGAAGCATAATTTCAATATGTGCAAAAGGAAAATAATAATAAAAACAACAACTGCTCCTCCTAGTCTTCTCAAAAGAATAAATTCAACGAGACGTACATTTCTTACTTTATGTTTATTAAATCTTTGTCACAAAAATCTACATCTAAAATATGTTTTATTCAAATTTTGAAATATTTTCTACAGTCAATTTTAAAATTACTTATTCAGAAAATTGTGTGTTTTTGTTTACATCAGTGTACAGTGGGGAAAATTGCCAAAAAAAAGGAAAATATTTAGTTTTTAAATGGTTGGTTCTAGTTAAGTTCTTGTTTACTTCTAGTTTAGTTCTAGTTCAGTCCTAGTTCAGTTCTAGTTCAGTTCTAGTTCAGTTCTAGTCCAGTTCTAGTTCAGTTCTAGTTCAGTTCTAGTTCAGTTCTTGTTCAGTTCTAGTTTAGTTCAGTTCTAGTTTAGTTCAGTTCTAGTTTAGTTCAGTTCTAGTTCTAGTTCAGTTCTAGTTCAGTTCTAGTTCAGTTCTAGTTCAGTTCTAGTTCAGTTCTAGTTCAGTTCTAGTTCAGTTCTAGTTCAGTTCTAGTTTCAGTTCTAGTTCAGTTCTAGTTCAGTTCTAGTTTCAGTTCTAGTTCAGTTCTAGTTCAGTTCTAGTTCAGTTCTAGTTCAGTTCTAGTTCAGTTCTAGTTCAGTTCTAGTTCAGTTCTAGTTCAGTTCTAGTTCAGTTCTAGTTCAGTTTCTAGTTCAGTTCTAGTTCAGTTCTAGTTCAGTTCTAGTTCAGTTCTAGTTCAGTTCTAGTTCAGTTCTAGTTCAGTTCTCGTTAGTTCTAGTTCAGTTCTAGTTCAGTTCTAGTTGAGTTCTAGTTCGGTTCTAGTTCAGTTCTCGTTCAGTTCTAGTTCAGTTCTAGTTCAGTTCTAGTTCAGTCCTAGTCCAGTTCTAGTTCAGTTCTAGTTCAGTTCTAGTTCAGTTCTAGTTCAGTTCTAGTTCAGTTTCAGTTCTAGTTCAGTTCTAGTTCAGTTCTAGTTCAGTTCTAGTTCAGTTCTAGTTCAGTTCTAGTTCAGTTCTAGTTCAGTTCTAGTTCAGTTCTAGTTCAGTTCTAGTTCAGTTCTAGTTCAGTTCTCGTTCAGTTCTAGTTCAGTTCTAGTTCAGTTCTAGTTGAGTTCTAGTTCGGTTCTAGTTCAGTTCTCGTTCAGTTCTAGTTCAGTTCTAGTTCAGTTCTAGTTCAGTTCTAGTTCAGTCCTAGTCCAGTTTCTAGTTCAGTTCTAGTTCAGTTCTAGTTCAGTTCTAGTTCAGTTCTAGTTCAGTTCTAGTTCAGTTCTAGTTCAGTTCTAGTTCAGTTCTAGTTCAGTTCTAGTTCAGTTCTAGTTCAGTTCTAGTTCAGTTCTAGTTCAATTCTAGTTCAGTTCTAGTTCAGTTCTAGTTCGGTTCTAGTTCAGTTCTTTTCACACTTCTTTCAACTATAGGAGTAGTTTTATTTCATTAAAAAAATTTAATTTAAACGAAGACAAAATTTACCCACTGTACAGAGCGCTAAGAAAACTAGTTTAACACGTTAAAAAAGATGTTTGGATTAACTTCTTGTGTTCATTTACCTGAAAATGTTCAAGTTACTTTTTGGAATATTAAATAGAAAAGTTTTTTGACTTTAAATTTTATGTTATAAATATGTTAGTAGGTCAGATTTCCACATGTTCTAGGTTTTTAGTAAATTGACTAGTATTTGAAATTGACCCTAATTTATTCATAAATTTCTAAAATAACAAATAGTGACAATAAGCCGGTCATAATTTTGCTACATTCATCTCTCTCTCTCTCTCTCTCTCTTTAAATTGAAATTTGTATTGTAAAGTTTTAAATCATTTCTGTTCATTTAAAATTAATAAAAAATCACACAATCTAAAACATTTTTTTGCAGCAAGTGTAATTATAACTACTTAATCAATATTTTTATCAATTTAAATTAATTTTAACAAAAAAAAAAAAAAAAAAAAAAAATTTCTTCTAAATTGCTTGTTTATTGTTAAAAAAAATGGTTTTATTTAATAGCTTTTTTTATATGGTATTTTATATATAAATTAATATGCTTTTTTATAACTTTTGATTTATGTTCTCTTTCTGTTTTTGTTTCTTTCTATCTTCTCTTTTCATTTTTTGGTTGCTTTTAATATGAATTGCATTCTTGATTTTGCTTTATTGCAACTTTAGAAATGTTCAAATATTGGCATCATCATCAAATCCTAGACGATCATTGTAGACAATTGGATTCAACTTAAGGCAAAACTAAATACCATCACATCATCTGCATACATCGTCATTCTTGTCATCTGATCATAAGAGAAAGCTTGTAAACAGCTTACAAATTAAGAGTATTATCATTACACAAAACTAATTTTGAAAATCATTGGCAGGCAGCTCATAGAATAAGGAAATCCCAAGGCAATTTAATAAAGAACTGAAGAACGGAGTTAAGAAACCAAAAGACATTCCATTATTCCCCCGTCCTCGATTTAGTGTTTCTTGTTTTAATAGCTCTCCTCTAAATAAATTTTAGAGGAGTTTCTTGGAATGTTGGAATATCCTCAACGATTTGCGCGTAATATCCCTGAACCCTCAACAACAACACAAAACAATACACATCACAGTCATCATTTGCATCATCAACAACCACAGCCACTGCCACATCAAAACTATCAACAACAACAGCAACACATAGTTGTGGGATCACATTATCATCCACACTCGCAACAGCAGGGATCTTATCCAACAACACCAGCTTCACCGGCTCATCAACCACGTTATCCACAGCCACCACCACAGCATCATCAACGTAATTTATCGACGGCATCTTCCTGTAGTGCTCAACATAAAAGTGTCACCTTTAGTCAAGTAACAACTTCTAATAGTGGCGATTATAGTGCTGGCAGTAGTAGCGGTAATTCTAGTTGTGGTGGTCAACAATCAATGGCGGGCAATATGAAGCACGGTAATGATTTTTGAAATATTTCTGGAAATTAATTTTTACATTAAGAAGAGATGAATTTGAAAAGCTTAAACATTTTTTTGTAATCGAAAAAAATTAATTAGAACTGAACTAGAACAGAACTATAACTATAACTGTAACAGAACTACACTAGAACTGAACTAGAACTGAACTAGAACTGAACTAGAACTGAACTAGAACAGACCTAGAACTGAACTAGAACTGAACTAGAACTGAAGTAGAACTGAACTAGAACTGAACTAGAACTGAACTAGAACTGAACTAGAACTGAACTAGAACTGAACTAGAACTGAACTAGAACTGAACTAGAACTGAACTAGAACTGAACTAGAACTGAACTAGAACTGAACTAGAACTGAACTAGAACTGAACTAGAACTGAACTAGAACTGAACTAGAACTGAACTAGAACTGAACTAGAACTGAACTAGAACTGAACTAGAACTGAACTAGAACTGAACTAGAACTGAACTAGAACTGAACTAGAACTGAACTAGAACTGAACTAGAACTGAACTAGAACTGAACTAGAACTGAACTAGAACTGAACTAGAACTGAACTAGAACTGAACTAGAACTGAACTAGAACTGAACTAGAACTGAACTAGAACTGAACTAGAACTGAACTAGAACTGAACCAGAACTGAACTAGAACTGAACTAGAACTGAACTAGAACTGAACTAGAACTGAACTAGAACTGAACTAGAACTGAACTAGAACTGAACTAGAACTGAACTAGAACTGAACTAGAACTGAACTAGAACTGAACTAGAACTGAACTAGAACTGAACTAGAACTGAACTAGAACTGAACTAGAACTGAACTAGAACTGAACTAGAACTGAACTAGAACCGAACTAGAACTGAACTAGAACCGAACTAGAACTGAACTAGAACTGAACTAGAACTGAACTAGAACTGAACTAGAACTGTACTAGAACTGAACTAGAACTGTACTAGAACTGAACTAGAACTGAACTAGAACTGAACTTGAACTGAACTAGAATTGACCTAGTACTGACCTAGTACTGACCTAGAACTGAACTAGAACTGAACTAGAACTGAACTAGAACTGAACTAGAACTGAACTAGAACTGAACTAGAACTGAACTAGAACTGAACTAGAACTGAACTAGAACTGAACTAGAACTGAACTAGAACTGAACTAGAACTGAACTAGAACTGAACTAGAACTGAACTAGAACTGAACTAGAACTGAACTAGAACTGAACTAGAACTGAACTAGAACTGAACTAGAACTGAACTAGAACTGAACTAGAACTGAACTAGAACTGAACTAGAAACTAAACTTGAACTGTAACTAGAACTGAACTAGAACTGAACTAGAACTGAACTAGAACTGAACTAGAACTGAACTAGAACTGAACTAGAACTGAACTAGAACTGAACTAGAACTGACTAGAACTGAACTAGAACTGAACTAGAACTGAACTAGAACTGAACTAGAACTGAACTAGAACTGAACTAGAACTGAACTAGAACTGAACTAGAACTGAACTAGAACTGAACTAGAACTGAACTAGAACTGAACTAGAACTGAACTAGAACTTAACTAGAACTTAACTAGAACTTAACTAGAACTGAACTAGAACTGAACTAGAACTGAACTAGAACTGAACTAGAACTGAACTAGAACTGAACTAGAACTGAACTAACTGAACTAGAACTGAACTAGAACTGAACTAGAACTGAACTAGAACTGAACTAGAACTGAACTAGAACTGAACTAGAACTGAACTAGAACTGAACTAGAACTGAACTAGAACTGAACTAGAACTGAACTAGAACTGAACTAGAACTGAACTAGAACTGAACTAGAACTGAACTAGAACTGAACTAGAACTGAACTAGAACTGAACTAGAACTGAACTAGAACTGAACTAGAACTGAACTAGAACTGAACTAGAACTGAACTAGAACTGAACTAGAACTGAACTAGAACTGAACTACTGAACTAGAACTGAACTAGAACTGAACTAGAACTGAACTAGAACTGAACTAGAACTGAACTAGAACTGAACTAGAACTGAACTAGAACTGAACTAGAACTGAACTAGAACTAAATAGAACTGACTAGAACTGAACTAGAACTGAACTAGAACTGAACTAGAACTGAACTAGAACTGAACTAGAACTGAACTAGAACTGAACTAGAACTGAACTAGAACTATGAACTAGAACTGAACTAGAACTGAACTAGAACTGACTAGAACTGAACTAGAACTGAACTAGAACTGAACTAGAACTGAACTAGAACTGAACTAGAACTGAACTAGAACTGAACTAGAACTGAACTAGAACTGAAATACTAGAACTGAACTAGAACTGAACTAGAACTGAACTAGAACTGAACTAGAAACTGAACTAGAACTGAACTAGAACTGAACTAGAACTGAACTAGAACTGAACTAGAACTGAACTAGAACGAACTAGAACTGAACTAGAAACTGAACTAGAACTGAACTAGAACTGAACTAGAACTGAACTAGAACGGGAACTAGAACTGAACTAGAAACTGAACTAGAACCGAACTAGAAACTGAACTAGAACTGAACTAGAACTGAACTAGAACTGAACTAGAACTGTACTAGAACTGAACTAGAACTGTACTAGAACTGAACTAGAACTGAACTAGAACTGAACTAGAACTGAACTAGAACTGAACTAGAACTGAACTAGAACTGAACTAGAACTGAACTAGAACTGAACTAGAACTGAACTAGAACTGAACTAGAACTGAACTAGAACTGAACTAGAACTGAACTAGAACTGAACTAGAACTGAACTAGAACTGAACTAGAACTGAACTAGAACTAAGCTTGAACTGTACTAGAACTGAACTAGAACTGACACTTATTTGTTCCAACTTCTCAAATTCATGCTTCAATTATTTGCAGTAAATAACATTTATAATTTCAATATCTTTTTCTAAAATATTCTAGGAAAATCACAAGAAGATGTTTGCTACGTTGTAGCCAAATACGATTATGCTGCTCAGGGAGCCCAAGAATTGGATTTACGAAAAAATGAACGTTATTTACTATTAGATGATTCCAAACATTGGTGGCGTGTACAAAATAATCGCAATCAATCGGGTTATGTGCCCAGTAATTATGTAAAAAAGGAAAAACCATCATTATTTGATAGGTAAGTTATAGATAATAATAATAACAATATATTATCAAAATTATTCTTAAATTACCAATTCCTACTAATCCAAAAAAATGTTTTTCTTTTTTATTTATTCCCCTTCATTTAGCTAAGCTTTGTTTTTTGCTCAATTTTTTTATTTTGATTTTTTAAGTAGCAATTTCATTTAGTTCATTTAGTTTATTTCACATTATTATTTTATATCAATTTTTATGTTGCTATTCAGAAAAGTTTATTTGGAATCACTTGTTCAAACCCTAAGTGTTATGTGAAAATATGTATTTTTACTCCCGCCCCCACACTTCTATATAACTCACTTTCTTCTGTGTGTGTGTGTGTTTTTTGTATATTGTCCCCTTTGTATAAAACAAATGTATTTTTCATCGCTCCATTTGTTTCTTTTTTTATAGTTGTTGTGTGTATATAAAGTGTGTTATTTTAAACATTTTTTGTTGTTCCTCCTTAATCAACACTTCAATACTTAAGAAGTTGATCATTTATAGATTTTTTTTAGGAAAATAGAGTTGTGTTTATCTAAGTACTATATTTTAGGAAAGTACCATTTAAAAAGTACCAATCACTTTGTGCAGATTAAACTTTTATTATTGAAAATATTTTCTATTATATTCCTTCATGAATAATTTGTAATATTATTTACATAATTTTCTTAAGAGACTTCCCATAAAATCAAATTTACCCAGAAAGTACCTATTGTATTCATGTTATAGTACCATTTCTCAAATTCCCTCAGCAAACATGCCGTATTTGTCATTATATCTGCATATACAAGTACTTCATATGGTTATTTATATAACATTGTGTGTGTGTGTTTTTTTATGAACTCGCGTGGCTCATAATCATCATTAAAATTCCTCCCTTATTATTATTGTTTGTATTCTTTTGATTCCGTCATCTATGCATAGGAAAGTGTAGTATTATTATACACTTTTACGTAATAATAAAAAAATAATAAAGTTCATTTTTGATAACATAATTTTTTTTCTGTTTCTGGTGTTTTGAAACATTTTTTTTTCATATAGTAAAACAATGATTATTTTAAAGGCAATAAAATGTTCAATTTATTAATAATGAATAATGAATGATATAGTGTTGCATTACGAGCTTAAATGATAATAAATATTGTAATTAGAAATATTTCAGGGGTTTTTCTTTAACCTATATACATATGTATGTGGAAATGTATTGAAAGTTCAGAGATTAGGGAATAATAAAAAATGACTGGATTGGGAGGATGTTTTCTCAAAATTCTGTTTAAATTCACAGGACAACTGGCTAAAGTCTTATACGAAAAGTTCAGTTCTAGTTTAGTTCAGTTCTAGTTCAGTTCTAGTTCAGTTCTAGTTCTAGTTCTAGTTCAGTTCTAGTTCAGTTCTAGTTCAGTTCTAGTTCAGTTCTAGTTCAGTTCTAGTTTCTAGTTTTCTAGTTTAGTTCAGTTCTTCTAGTTCAGTTCTAGTTCAGTTCTAGTTCAGTTCTAGTTCAGTTCTAGTTCAGTTCTAGTTCAGTTCTAGTTCAGTTCTAGTTCAGTTCTAGTTCAGTTCTAGTTCAGTTCTAGTTCAGTTCTAGTTCAGTTCTAGTTCAGTTCTAGTTCAGTTTCTAGTTCAGTTCTAGTTCAGTTCTAGTCAGTTCTAGTTCAGTTCTAGTTCAGTTCTAGTTCAGTTCTAGTTCAGTTCTAGTTCAGTTCTAGTTCAGTTCTAGTTCAGTTCTAGTTCAGTTCTAGTTCAGTTCTAGTTCAGTTCTAGTTCAGTTAGTTCAGTTCTAGTTCAAGTTCTAGTTCAGTTCTAGTTCAGTTCTAGTTCAGTTCTAGTTCAGTTCTAGTTCAGTTCTAGTTCTGTTCTAGTTCTGTTCTAGTTCTGTTCTTGTTCTGTTCTAGTTCAGTTCTAGTTCAGTTCAGTTCTAGTTCAGTTCTAGTTCTAGTTCTAGTTCAGTTCTAGTTCAGTTCTAGTTCAGTTCTAGTTCAGTTCTAGTTCAGTTCTAGTTCAGTTCTAGTTCAGTTTTAGTTCAGTTCTAGTTCAGTTCTAGTTCAGTTCTAGTTCAGTTCTAGTTCAGTTCTAGTTCAGTTCTAGTTCAGTTCTAGTTCAGTTCTAGTTCAGTTCTAGTTCAGTTCTAGTTCAGTTCTAGTTCAGTACTAGTTCAGTTCTAGTTCAGTTCTAGTTCAGTTCTAATTCAGTTCTAGTTCAGTTCTAGTTCAGTTCTAGTTAGTTCCAGTTCAGTTCTAGTTCAGTTCTAGTTTAGTTCAGTTCTAGTTCTAGTTCAGTTCTAGTTCAGTTCTAGTTCAGTTCTAGTTCAGTTCTAGTTCAGTTCTAGTTCAGTTCTAGTTCAGTTCTAGTTCAGTTCTAGTTCAGTTCTAGTTCAGTTCTAGTTCTAGTTCAGTTCTAGTTCAGTTTTCTAGTTCTAGTTCAGTTCTAGTTCAAGTTCTAGTTCAGTTCTAATTCAGTTCTAGTTCAGTTCTAGTTCAGTTCTAATTCAGTTCTAGTTCAGTTCTAGTTCAGTTCTAGTTCAGTTCTAGTTCAGTTTCTAGTCAGTTCTTGTTCAGTTCCAGTTCAGTTCTAGTTCAGTTCTAGTTCAGTCTAGTTCAGTTTCTAGTTCAGTTCTAGTTCAGTTCTAGTTCAGGTTCTAGTTCAGTTCTAGTTTCAGTTCTAGTTCTAGTTCAGTTCTAGTTCAGTTCTAGTTCGTTTCTAGTTCAGTTCTAGTTCAGTTCTAGTTCAGTTCTAGTTCAGTTCTAGTTCAGTTCTAGTTCAGTTCTAGTCAGTTCTAGTTCAGTTCTAGTACAGTTCTAGTTCTAGTTCAGTTCTAGTTCAGTTCTAGTTCAGTTCTAGTTCAGTTCTAGTTCTAGTTCAGTTCTAGTTCAGTTCTAGTTCAGTTCTAGTTCAGTTCTAGTTCAGTTCTAGTTCAGTTCTAGTTCAGTTCTAGTTCAGTTCAAGTTCAGTTCTAGTTCAATTCTAGTTCAGTTCTAGTTAAATTTTAGTTCATTTCTACTTCAGTTTTAGTTCTAGAATAGATTTAAAGCGGATTGATCTTAACTCCAAACTATAACAAATGCGTTATAATATTAGTTGTGAAACTAATACAATTTTAATACTTTTAATTAAAATGTGTTTCAAATAAAATCTATGATAAAAAAGTGAAAAAAATTTGGATAGTGTGATTTAAATTAAATAAAAACTAATTTTATGAGTAATTGGTACTTAGTAATTTATGCTTAAAAACATGTTTAACATATATAAGTAAAAAAAATTCTCATGATACATCTCGAAAAACATTCCATAAGATAAATAAATTTAGCAGAAATATATAAATAAGAACAACACAAATTGATAATGATTTTGAAATAAATGAAATATTTTCTAATATTTATCTCTTATATTTTTACAGCATAAAGAAAAAAGTGAAAAAAGGTTCAGGCTCGAAAACATTACCCAATTGTTCTCCATCAAGACAAATCGAAAGTCCAACAATGTCGCGAAGACTGCCCCCAGATCCATCAGAGGCTATTGGTTCAGCTATTGTGAAATATAATTATCAAGCACAACAACCGGATGAGTTGTCACTAACCAAGGGTACACGTATACTTATATTGGAGAAATCCAACGACGGTTGGTGGCGAGGACAAAGTGGTAATGCCGTGGGCTGGTTTCCAAGCAATTACACAACTGAGGATTGTGATAATGATGGTGAGATACATACATATGCAATGGCTGAAAATGTATTAGATATAGTGGTGAGTAGAATTTATGAAATTGGCAAATGAATTATAAGTTTAATTTGTTTCTCTGTTTTTTGTGTTAGGTGGCTTTATATAGCTTCAATTCAAATAATGATCAAGAATTATCATTTGAAAAAGGCGATCGTTTAGAGATTGTTGATCGTCCTGCCTCCGATCCCGATTGGTATAAGGCACGAAATAATCAGGGTCAAGTCGGTTTAGTTCCACGCAATTATTTACAAGAGTTAAATGATTATTTGGCCACACCCTATCGCAATAATGGTGGGGCAGCGGGCAATGGTAATGCTGGTGGCAATGGTGGTGGAGGTGGTGGTGGCAGCATTGGTGGCGGTGCAAATGCCAATGGTGACTCAATCGATCGTCGGGCTGATGGTATGCCACAAAATTCACCACCACCCATGGAAAGGCCTAATTTGGCGGGTAAATCATGGTATTATGGAGCTATAACACGCAGTCAATGTGATACGGTCTTAAATCAACACGGTCATGATGGTGATTTTCTAATACGTGACAGTGAAACTAATGTAGGTTTGTTGAGTAAGAATTAAATATAGAGTTATAATGAATTTTCCATTTTAGATGGGTGATTACTCAGTTTCTCTTAAGGCTCCGGGACGTAATAAACATTTCCGTGTTCATGTGGAAAACAGCATGTACTGCATAGGCCAACGTAAGTTTCATACTTTAGATCAACTAGTAGATCATTACCAAAGAGCGCCCATCTATACAAATAAACAGGGTGAGAAATTATATTTAGTACGACCGTTACCAAAAGCCAATGGTACGTAAATTATTTAATCCAAAATTGCAAACAAAGAACAAAAACCTCAATTACCCCCTTATATAAACATCAAAGGTTTACACTGTTGTAAAAGGAAATCAACAAACAAATTCGAAAAGAAAGAACTTTTTTTTTTCAAAAACTAAACCTTAAAAAAGAAGAAAGATATACATATTCAATACTTAACACGGAGATACCATTTACCAATTACGCTAAATATGTTGTCACAATATCACCTTTAAACAGAAAAAAAGTAAAAAATAAAAAAAATTGTAGTTTTTCAAAACCATACAACAAAACAATTTCATATTTATATATACAAAAATACATACATTAAAAAAAAATACAAACAAACAATTTAAGAATGAAAAGAAAACACTTACACAAGGCGTAAAATATATTTAAACGAAAACATAATTGTCAAATTACATTTTACATTTATAGCTATATACATACATACATATGTACAAGTATAGATAACACAGGACGACAAAATTTAAAAAAAAGTCAAAATCCAGAGACAAAACTTTTCTTAAAGATTGAGCTGAGCGTTTATATCTCAAAATTTTTCACTTCACATGGGATTTTTGAGATATTTTAGCTTGAAGTTTGAAAAATTTGCATTTGTTCATCGGATTTTTCATTAGATATGAAAAAATATGAATTTTTGTTATTTTTCCCAAAAATTTTGCAATATTTTAGAATTCCCATTTTCCTAACAAAAAAAAAATCCATTAGGGGATTTTCTGGGATTGTACAAAAATACACAAAATTTACATAAAATTGATATTTTTCAAGTATTTTATAGATTTTTGCTAAAAATTTCAATTCCCAATTTATTTATGAAAATCCCCACTTTGGGAATTTAGTTAATTTTTCTAGAAATTCATTATAATTATAAAGTTTATTTAGATTTTTGAGTAATTTTCAAAATAATTTGCAAAATTTTCAAATTCCCATTTTCCTAACGAAAAATTCCATTAGGGGATTTTCTGGGATTGTACGAAATTGCTTAAAAATTACATGTAATTAATATTTTTAATGTATTTTATTGATTTTTGCTAAAAAATTTAATTCCCAATATATATATAAAAATCCCCACTTTGGGAATTTAGTTAATTTTTCTAGAAATTCATAAAAATTATAAAGTTTTTATGGGTTTTAGAGTAATTTTCAAAAAAAAAAAAAAATTGCAAAATTTTCAAATTCCCATTTTTCTAGCGAAAAATTCCATTAGGAGATTTTCTGGGATTGTCCAAAAATACACAAAATTTATTTAAAATTGATATTTCTCCTGTATTTTATTGATTTTTGTTAAAAATATAAATTCCCAATTTATTTATGAAAATCCCCACTTTAGGAATTGAGTTTATTTTGCTAGAAATTCATAAAAATTATAAAATACTTATGGGTTTCAAAATAATTTTGCAAAATTTTCAAATTCCCATTTTCCTAAAGAAAAATACCATTAGGAGATTTTCTGGGATTGTCCAAAATACACAAAATTTACATAAAATTGATAATTCTCAAATAATTTATTGATTTTTGTTAAAAATTTTAATTCCCAATTCATTAATTAAAAATCTTACTTTGAAAATTCGACAATTTTGCTAAAAATAAATTTTTGTGGATTTTAGAGTTCTTTTTGCAAAATTTTCAAATTCCCATTTCCCTAACGAAAAATTCCATTAGGGAATTTCCTGGGATTGTCCAGAAATATACAAAATTTACATAAAATTAAAAATACTTTCTCAAGTATTTTATAGATTTTTGCTAAAAATTTCAATTCCCAATTTATTTATGAAAATCCCCACTTTGGCAATTTAGTTCATTTTACTATAAAATCATAAAAATTATAAAGTTTTTAAGGGTTTTAGAGTAATTTCAGAAAAATTTTGCAAAATTTTCAAATTCCCATTTTCTTAAGAAAAATTCCATTAAAGGATTTTCTGGGATTGTCCGAAATTGCTTAAAAATTACATATAATTAATATTTTTAATGTATTTTATGGATTTTTGTTAAAATTTATTATTCCCAATTTATTTATGAAAATCCCCACTTTGGGAATTAAGTTTATTTTGAAAAATTCCATTAGGGAATTTTCTGGGATTGTCCGTAATTGCTTATAAATTGCCTATAATTAATATTTTTAATGTATTTTATTAATTTTTGCTAAAAATTTAAATTCCCAATTTATTTATGAAAATCCCCACTTTGGCAATTTAGTTCATTTTACTATAAAATCATAAAAATTATAAAGTTTTTAAGAGTTTTAGAGTAATTTCAGAAAAATTTTGCAAAATTTTCAAATTCCCATTTTCTTAAAGAAAAATTCCATTAAAGGATTTTCTGGGATTGTCCGAAATTGCTTAAAAATTACATATAATTAATATTTTTAATGTATTTTATGGATTTTTGTTAAAATTTATTATTACCAATTTATTTATGAAAATCCCCACTTTGGAAATTAAGTTTATTTTGAAAAATGCCATTAGGGGATTTTCTGGGATTGTCCGTAATTGCTTATAAATTGCCTATAATTAATATTTTTTATGTATTTTATAAATTTTTGCTAAAAATTTAAATTCCCAATTTATTAATGAAAATCCCCACTTTGGGAATTTACTTCATTTTGCTAGAAATTCATGAAAATTATAAAGTTTTTATGGGTTTTAGAGTAATTTCAGAAAAAATTTTGCAAAATTTTCTAATTCCCATTTTCACAAAAAAGAAATTAATGTGATGGGACTCAGTACAGCTTAATTCTTTAGAAAGGTAAAATCTGGTCTCTGATTTCAACATCTGTTAACCTGTGTTATTAGTTATATTAATATATTTATTCTTTGATATTGTTTTGGACTAAGAATTTCTTAAACTTCTGGCAAAAATTTGCTACAATTTAAAATTGTATATTATTTAAAATAATTTTTAGGATTTGAATTAAAATTTTCTAGTTTTTTTTATGTTAAAATTTTTACTTATTTAGAATTTTTTTTAAGTATTTATTTTCTATCTCTAAAACTCGAATAAGTTCCTTAAACTTTCTTAACTTTTAATTATTTAAACAATATCAAAGAATTTATATAAAAATATAAACATAATTTATACTTCTACTAACACAAATATATTTAAATATATAGAAAAAAACTCATAAATTAAAACCGAGAAAAACTTTTAATTTTTTGCTAATTCAGCTTAAAAGCGTGATCATTCTAAAAACAAAACGAAATGAAATGAAAAAAAGTCATCTTTAATTTAAATACAATTTGAAAGAAAAGAAAGTTAAAGAAATTAAAAAAAAAACAACTTCTCTAAATAATCAGAAAAAATGTCAACCATAACTTATATATATATAAAAAAAGATATAAATTTACATATTCATATAGTATATAAATTTATTAAATATGCCCCTCCTTTCTTTAACATCAAGAAAATGAATATCCTCCCCTACCCCCTCACATCATAGAAATCCCAATTTTATATATATATAATTAATAACTTATAATTACTTATATAGTGAAAACTAAAAACAAAAAGAAATCATTAAAGTAAAACACTCAACCAACAACAAACACTCTCTCATCTTTATAAATAAATTTTTTACCATAAAAAAAGTTATAGTTTACTTTTTGCATATATTATTCTAATTTATCTTAAGATTAGAATTTCTTATTTTGTTTTAATTAATTTATAGGTTGTTTTTTTGTTTGTAATATTTTTTTTATTTAAATACAAATATCTCTCTCCCCCTTTTTATCTTTAACTTAGTAGTATACAATTAGTAATAATTTCTTAAATAAAAAATTCTATTTTAATTTAAAGCAAATAAAAACAAATTAAATATTAAACAAAACAGAAATCTTAAATATGTTTTTTAAGTTTTATTTTTGGAATTTAGAAAAAATATTTTTTTTTCTACATTGCCTAACGTTAGATTACAGGTTTGTAACACTTTTACATTTTTCCAATATTAATTTGCAAATTTTATTTTCACGTATTGACCAATTTTATTTATTACCCTAATCTCCCCCTCTTTTTTGCGCTTATATATAGCGTTTATATAGCATTTTATTTAGGTTTTCAAAAGAATATTCATTTGCATTAAATTTTCAATTTAGTTGTTCTCAAAAAAATATAAGTTTAAACTTAAACATATCCTTGATTTGTCATGAAGAACAATTTTCAATTGAAAGAACGTTAACAAACCTTTAAATCTAACGTTTTATAATTAAATTCTATTGTATATATAGTTTTATAATTTAATAAATATTTAATACTAATATTAGGCTGCCTTTTTAATATTTCTCAGCTATAAAATACAATATGAGCCGACGTCTAGATAAAAAAAAACGGTTTCAAAAACGTAAACTACAAATAAACCCATAATTTCAAAATTAACTCAAAATAAACCTTAAATAGATTAAAAGAAAGTTCTAGTTCAGTTCTAGATCAGTTCTAGTTTAGTTCTAGTTAAGTTCTAGTTCAGTTCTAGTTCAGTTCTAGTTTAGTTCTAATTCAGTTCTAGTTCAGTTCTAGTTCAGTTCTAATTCAGCTCTAGTTCAGCTCTAGTTCAGTTTTAGTTCAGTTCTAGTTCAGTTCTAGTTCAGTTCTAGTTCAGTTCTAGTTCAGTTCTAGTTCAGTTCTAGTTCAGTTCTAGTTCAGTTCTAGTTCAGTTCTAGTTCAGTTCTAGTTCAGTTCTAGTTCAGTTCTAGTTCAGTTCTAGTTCAGTTCTAGTTCAGTTCTAGTTCAGTTCTAGTTCAGTTCTAGTTCAGTTCTAGTTCAGTTCTAGTTCAGTTCTAGTTCTAGTTCAGTTCTAGTTCAGTTCTAGTTCAGTTCTAGTTCAGTTCTAGTTCAGTTCTAGTTCAGTTCTAGTTCAGTTCTAGTTCAGTTCTAGTTAGTTCTAGTTCAGTTCTAGTTCAGTTTCTAGTTCAGTTCTAGTTCAGTTCTAGTTCAGTTCTAGTTCAGTTCTAGTTCAGTTCTAGTTCAGTTCTAGTTCAGTTCTAGTTCAGTTCTAGTTCAGTTCTAGTTCAGTTCTAGTTCAGTTCTAGTTCAGTTCTAGTTCAGTTCTAGTTCAGTTCTAGTTCAGTTCTAGTTCAGTTCTAGTTCAGTTCTAGTTCAGTTCTAGTGCAGTTCTAGTTCAGTTCTAGTTCAGTTCTAGTTCAGTTCTAGTGCAGTTCTAGTTCAGTTCTAGTTCAGTTCTAGTTCAGTTCTAGTTCAGTTCTAGTTCAGTTCTAGTTCAGTTCTAGTTCAGTTCTAGTTCAGTTCTAGTTCAGTTCTAGTTCAGTTCTAGTTCAGTTCT